GAGTTTCTACTTGGGGCCATCAGAGTGTTTTATAAATAGAGAGTATTGATGGTTGTATAACACTAAGAATAATAAATGTCATTGAATTATACATTTAAAAAGTGGCCAGAATGGTAAATTTTGTTACATATATTTTACCACAATTAAAAATAACGTAGCCCTGGCCAGTGTGGGTCAGTGGTTGAGCATCATCCCATGCACCCATTGGCCGCTGGTTCTATTTGCTGTCAGGGCACATGCAGGAGGCAGCCAACTGATGTTTATCCTCTCTCTCTCTCTTTCTCTCTCTCTCTCTAATCAATAAAAACATTAAAATAGTAAAAAATAATATAATATACACAAACTATTGAATTGTACACCCTAAATGGGTGAATTGTATGGTCTGAAAATTACGTCACAACAAAGCTAATTTTGTTTTTGTTTTTTTAACCGTTAGCATGTAAAAAAAATCATTCAACTCTGTTTTTATTGCTTAGCTCAAAGACTTTGGGAAACATACCCAGCCCCTTGAAAGCTTTAGTGTCCTCCTCTGTAAGATGGGATAGAATTATACCACATTTCCCGAGTTTAAAATTATTCCACATTTCCTAACGGCTCCGGAAGGAGGTGCGGGGCACCCGTCACGTAGGCGCATCTGAAGTCACTGTCATTCGAGGGCGGAATTCTTTTGTTTCAGAGGGCTTTCTCTGAGAAATGCTTAGAGAATGACTGTAAAATAACAGACCTGGCGCATGGCTAGAAATTCATAACCGATGACTCCTGTCTGCGGGGGGAGGTGATGATGAGGAAGACGGCTGAGGTGCGTCGAGGAGCAGGGGAGGAGAAGCAGAGGAAGATGCTGATCAGGACAGGAACCAAGATGGGAGGAGGGTGGTTCCCGGGCAGCCAGAGACCCAGTGAGAACCTAGTCCTCCGGGGTCTAACTGAGCAGCTGGTCTGCTCCTCGTAGGAAACCTGGAGGGCGGCAGTGGATGCCTCCCAGACGGTGTTCCCGCTCGGGAAGCCGTTGTCAGTGTCTCTGTCGGGTGATCAGGTAGCGGTTACTGAGCTTCCACCATGTGCACCTGAGGCAGGACAAGACTGAGTTCTGCAGACGCGGGAACTAGAGCCCAAAGACAAAATAGATCCAGAGACATGGAAGCAGGAGCAGACTGAGGCATCTCAGAGGGACGGGGTGGGATGAGGGGAGGGGAGAGATCAACCGAAGACCTTGCATGATGTGTGCGTCACCCATGGACACAGACAATAGGGTGGGGAGGCCTGGGGCAAGAGGGGGCACGGGCTACAAGGGGTCAGTGGGAGGAAACGGGGGATATAATGTAATACTTTCAACAATAAAGATTTTAAGAAATAAATAAGAATGCTTAAAAATCACAAATAGTTTAAAAAATCTCTCCATGAACACCTACCCAAGAGTGGCAGCACGGGGGCTCCCCCAGCCCTGTGGTTCCAGACCCTCTCGTTGGACCCCTGGCTGAATGACCAGGCGGTGATTTTGTAATGAAACCGGGAAACAACAGTCACAGCAACACCGCGCTCCACGCTTCTGCTTTCAACAATAGAGATAAATTAAAAACAAACAAAAATCGCAAATAGTTTAAAAAATTTCTCCGTGAGCACCTCCCCAAGAGTGGCAGCGCGGGGACGCCCCCAGCCCTGTGGTTCCAGACCCTCTCGTTGGACCCCTGGCTGAATGACCAGGCGGTGATTTTGTAATGAAACCGGGAAACAACAGTCACAGCAACACCGCGCTCCACGCTTCTGCTGGAGCAAACGAGGAATTCTCCCTACAATACCAGCCTTGGGGCAGCATCAAGCCGCCAACACCAAGCGCACAGGATCTCTGTGTGTCACCTCCTGGGGGGTTCGCCGGGGAGTTGACCGCACCCCTGTCCTGCTCCATCGCTTCAGAGGGAACGGGTTCAGCTCTGACAGCACCTCCCGGAGCGTTTCCAGGGCGACTGGTCAGAAAGCGGCAGGAGGCGGCGGAAGGGTAGAGCTGGACGGACCCATCAGCCGGCTTCTCTGGACGCCCCTTTCATGACTGACTATCCCCCGGCAGGGCTGTCAGGGGGATTGTCCTCGCCGTTCCATGGCAGAAGCTGTTCAGCACCAGGTGATGGAAAGGGAAGGTGACCACCACCCACCTCGGTGCCTCGATGGCTGGGGACCTCAGTGGTGGCAGCTGAGGCCAGGCCTGACCTCGGGGGAGCGGCAGGAGGGAGGGGGCTTCCTCTGCCCCCGTCTCCCCGTCTCCCCGTCTCCCCGTCTCCCCGTCTCCCCGTCTCCCCGTCTCCCCGTCTCCCTGTCTCACCGTCTCCCCCGAAACGGGTCTGGCTGCAGCCCTTTGGTACTAATGGCTCTGGAAGGAGGTGGGGGGCACCCGTCACATCGGCGCATCTGAAGTCACTGTCATTCGAGGGCGGAATTCACTTTTGTTTCAGAGCTTCAGTTTCTATGCCGCAATTAGGACTTTTTACTTTTTTTTTTTACTTTTTTGATTTTTTATTTGAAGTTACAATGTCTTCAAATACTAAGTTAAAAGCAAAAATGGAAAAGAATAAGGCTTAAAGAGGATTTAAGTAAACTGGATTTATAAAAAATAAGGCCAGATACAGAATAAATAAAACACTAAAACAAAGAATTCAAACAAAATATTTAAAGGGCTTACTAATTTTTATTTAATCCTCACCTGAGGATATGTTTTCATTGATTTTAGAGAGAAAAATGAGCGAGGGAGAGACAAGGGGGTTGGGAGAGAGAGAGAGAGAGAGAGGGGCAACATTGATGGGTTGCCTTCTGTATGTGTCCCACCCACCCACAGCCCAGGCATGTGCCCTGATGGGACTCTAACCTGCATCCTTTTCCTGTACAAGACGACCCGCCAACCAGCTGAGCCACCGGCCCAGGAAAGACATAGTCACCTGGTATTGGTTCTACAGATGGTTGGTCAATTATTTCCCCCAAAGTATTACTTCCCCTTTTAAAAAAACCTCCCATTACCACGTGTTATGTGAAAATATTGCGTCTCGCCACCATTACTTTGTAGTTTGTGAAAAACAGGGCACAGCAATTCTGCACGAATCCCATGTAGACTGTGTGCTGCGCCGTTTATTAATGGAAAACATCCTGTGCGTTTGCACGTCTACTGTTGGTGACGTTTCACCAGATCAGATGTCCAGCGAGGCTGACCGCGGTCCTTCCCTCCTGCCCTGTGAGTGCCCGCAGCACTCTGGATTATAGACATTATTTACAATATCTAAAGGCAGGGCCTTTGAATTTATATTTCTGAATTTATATCTTATGGAACAATTCTGGGCATAAAGTGGAAGATAAAATATATTTATTAAGTGACTCAACAGGCCCTAGCTGGTTTGGTTCTGTGGATAGAGCGTAGGCCTGCACACTGAAAGGTCCCGGGTTCAATTCCAGTCAAGGGCATGTACCTCGGTTGCAGGCTCTGGTCAGGGCTCCTGTGGGAGGCAACCAATCAATGTGTCTCTCTCACATTAATGTCTCTCTCTCTCTCTGTCTCTCCCCCTCTCACTCTCTCTAAAAATCAATGGAAAAATATCCTCATGTGAGGATTAACAACAACAATAACCAACAAAGAAGAAAAAAAATGACTAAACAGTTGATTTAGTTTTTAAGAAGAGGATTGATGGTTGTCTGAGAGAAGAATGCCTTAGAAGTCAATGTTAAGTAATGTATGGGATTATTACGAATTGAATAAATTACCAATTGAATAATTTCATTCTCATTGTAATGTAAATGTTTTACTATATAGTCACATCTTTTTCTCTGGAGCGTCCTGTCCCAACCTCACTGACTGATTTTGTTAAAGAAAATGCAATTTGGTAAAACAGAATTTTCTCAGATGCTTCAATTTTTAGCACCAGCTCCTACCAAGAAAATTTTAGATCCAAAAGAAGATACCACATTCCTTAAAATTCCCGAGTCAGCGTTGGGCTGGCAGTGATGTGGTGGACTCTCTTTTCTGTTTTGTTCACCTTTTTGGATGTTTTAAACAAGATCCTTAGATTTTAGGGGCAAACATGCTAAAATCACAAAGTACCATGTTAACTGATTTTGGAAAATTTCTTCCCCCTACTGGGGATGGAGCCCACAACCAAGGTACACGCCCTTGACCAGTATCAAATCCGGGACCCTTCAGTCCGCAGGCTGATGCTCTATCCACTGAGCAACACCGGCCAGGGCTCTTTTATCCCTGTATTAGCTCTCCATCTTGTTAAATTTTCTCTTTACTTTTTATTATTTTTATAAATAGAGCCTTGCTATCTATTTTCATGTTAAAATATTTACATAAGGTTTTAATAACTTTACTGACCCATGACTTTTTTATGGTATTTTATCCACAAAGTTACTGTGTCTGAAAAGGGTTTTTGTCAGTCCCAGGGGTCATTTTATGCATCTCTAGCATTTTATACAAAGTGATTACTTCCTTCTCTGCGGTGCTTTAGCCACATTGGGGTCTTGTTGCCTAGGAGGTATATCACTAGTATGAAAGGATGAAGTTTTATCTTCAGGTGGAAAGCTGGTTTCTTCTGTCTGGTGTAAATACCCTGATTTGCACATCCACATCCACTTTAGCAGTGAACTAGGCAGTTGTATAGCGGGGTCGTAGACTCTGCTCCAGTTTCACCTCAGTTTGTTAACTATTTTGATACAAATTCCTCCAAACATTTAACAGAAAAACCTTCAGGTTCACGTGCTGTTGTGCCTGGGGCTGAGGGTGCCCTCCGGCCACGTCCGGTCTCCTCCTCTGGAGGCTCCAGGCGATCGTAGCGCCAGCCCCTCCTTGGACCAAGGGGCCCTCCGAGAAGCTCCCGGACCCTCTCTCACCCACGCCCGCTTCCTTCCTCTTGCCCTTCACCTTGGCTCCATGCTCTACAAAGCATCTCCGCTCACACGGGGTTTTGCTGCAAAAATCACTTTATTTTCTACGGGAGGTGAGTCTAGAAGTCTCGGGTATAAAAGTCTCAGCGCTCAGCCTGGGGCGGGGATGACGAAGCTTTGGACGCGCTGCTGCTGCTGCTGCGAGAAAACATCTTGGACAGAACCGACGTGACCCGGGCCAGCATCTTGGACCCCTGCTTGCAAGCACTGGGCTTGGCGGCTTCTGTGGACAAAGCAGAAGAGCAACATGGCGTTTCTCAGACATCCTCACGCTGCCCACCCAGCCCCGTGGTTAGAGGTTAGGCCTTGACAGGCATCACACACTCTAGGGCAGCCGTGGGCAAACTACGGCCCGCGGGCCGGATCCGGCCCGTTTGAAATGAATAAAACTAAAAAAAAAAAAAGACCGTACCCTTTTATGTAATGATGTTTACTTTGAATGTCTATTAGTTCACACAAACACTCCATCCATGCTTTTGTTCCGGCCCTCCGGTCCAGTTTAAGAACCCATTGTGGCCCTCGAGTCAAAAAGTTTGCCCACCCCTGGCCTAGGGGCTGAAGGTCACCCTCAGACATGGCGTTTCTCAGACATCCTCACGTTGCCCACCCGGCCGCGCTGTTAGAGGTCAGGCCTTGACACGGACCACACACTCTAGGGGCTGAAGGTCACCCTCAGAGATGCTTTTTCTGCGAAGGAAACGAGGAGGAGGAGGTCTCCACTTTGGACTCTGACTATTGACGAGGTCAGAGGCCCTGCTGGGCTCACAGGAGCAGAGAGTGGCCACGATGGGTTCGGGTCCAGCCCCCGGACTCTTGTGGCAGCATTCTCCCTCCTGAACCCATCAGGCGTGCAAAGAGTGCCTTTCTTCTTCCAGCAGAAAACTCCCCGAAAAGCCTGGTGAGCTGAGCTCCCCTGGTCAACCAGCTTTCAGTGTGTGCAGTGAGGCTGTCTAATTCAGAGTGGTCCCGGGGAAGCAGACGAGCATTAAGCCTGCCAGCGTGGCTCAGCCGTTGAGCGTCGACCTATGAACCAGGAGGTCAGGGTTCAATTCCCAGTCAGGGCACAGGCCCGGATTGCGGGCTCCATCCCCAGCATGGGGCGTGCAGGAGGCAGCCGATCCATGATTCTCTCTCATCATCCATGTTTCTCTCTCCCTCTCCCTCTCTCCCCCAAAATCAATAAAAACAGATCAAAAGGTAAATGCCACGTATCTCTAACGCGAGCAGCAGAGCGGAGAATCCTGATCCCGCAGCAGGGAGCGGGTGCTCCCTGGGTCTGAGAGGAGCGAGTAGACTGCGGGTCTGTGGAGAACAGCTGCTTCCCACGTGATTCTAGTGTATGTGCTGTTACTTCACGGGAGTTTTAATAAGCACAGCTTTAACATTTTTGTCTGAAAATGGCAAAATCTTGGCTACCTGGGAGGTGGACATCTCTTGCCCTTTCCCTTAAAGTTTTGTACACATGTCTTAGTTCTTCGATAAAGAGGTGCAGGACCTCAGGTGTTCAGATGTAAATGGTTTGAGATTTTCTTGTGTACATCCTAGGAAACTCAGCATGCGTGTCTTCAGCCCTGACCGCCCGTTGGACTCCAGACCTAAATATCCTATTCCTGTTGTGACAGCTCAGCTTGCGTATCTAACAGGCCCTCCGTCTCAGCTTCCCCAAGCCAGAATGCTCGCGCCCCTCCCCCGTTATTCCCATCGTGCCCCCTGTTGTACCAAAGGCCTCCTCCTCCTCCTACGTGCCTGTCTTGGGCTGTTGGGAAAACAGCTGTGAGCTCACATTCTACCAGGAGACAGTGAAAAGCTCAGTTGCCAGCCCGGTAATCACCAGCGCCAGGGAGAGAGACGAGCACAGGGGGGCAGGGAGGGCCATGGTGGCGCCCAGGCTACCGTTTCCTAGGGTTTCGTCCACACCTCACTGAGGTGACATGTGAGTGAGGCTGAAGGTGAGGATTGAGCGATGCTGTGAGGCTGGAGCGAGGGTGCCCCGAGGGGAGTCAGAGGTGGCGGATTGGGAGGTAGCAGGGGGCTTGGGGTCATGTCCGGATGAAGTAGGGATTTGCAAGCCTTTGCAGTGTCTTTGGTGTTTGTCCCCGAGGAGATGGGAAGGGCTCCTTCAATGTTCTTAGCCTTTGAGGCCCTGCCCCGTGTTGCAATGGAAAGTCTGTGAGCGCCACGACCTGTCAGGTTTGCTCGCACACGGGGTGTAACACGGGGGTGCGTGGTCAGTCTGTGATGAGTGAGTGAGCGCGTGATTGGGCTGGGCGGCTGCAGCACTGCTAAGGGCGTAAGGTTTAAGCATGAGCATTGCGACAGCACAGGAAGGAAGCCACACACACACACACACACACACACACACACACACACACAGGAGGGCGGGGTCTAGACCGCACACTGCCTCCGGCTAGAAGTGCCCTTGGCCGCGCCACCCCCCCCTGCACCTGAGAGTCCTCATGAGCGCAGGAGGGCGCTGCAGTAAGTGTTCCTGTCTGGCTCTGCCAGCCTCTGGCTCCCTGATAAGGGCCGGTATCAGTGATTGGGGCCACGCCTGCTGCTTATGGTGTGTTCATAGGCTTCTGGCCACTGACTGCCATGCTGTGGGCCACATTATGCACGTGATTCCCACTTCCCCTGCCACGAGAGCAGATTTCTCCAACTCCCTGAGCGGTTGCGTGTGTGAAAAGCCCGGGGAACCTGTGGCTAGAGTGTCAAGGCCGCATAGCAGTAAGCATAGCACTTCGTCTCTTGCACGTGCTACCCCCGTTAGAAATGTATGTGTAATTTTTGTTAATCCTCACTTGAGGATACTTTTTCCATTGGTTTTTAGAGAGAGTGGAAAGGGTAGGGGGGAGGCAGAGAGAGAGACACACACACACATGGATTCGTTGCCTCCCACACTTGCCCCAGCCAGCGCTGGGGATTGAACCTGCAGCCTCAGTACATGCCCTCGACCAGGAATCAAATCCCTGACCTGTGGGTGCTCTAACCATTGAGCAACACCAGGCAGGGCTGTTAGAACTATATTGATTCTCTGAGAATTCAATGAACAGAGAACCAAAACATCTTCACAGATGTTCTAAGGAGTTGGTACTGAGAGATTGAAAAAAAGAAAAAGTGATGCCTGGCTGGCGTGGCTCAGTGGTTGAGCGTTGACCTATGAACCAGGAGGTCACAGTTTGATTCCCAGTCAGGGCACATGTTTGGATTGTGGGCTCGATCCCCAGTGTGGGGCATGCAGGAAGCAGTTGATCCATGATTCTCTCTCATCATTAATGTTTCTCTCTCTCCCTTTCCCTTCCTCTGAAATCAATAAAAGTGTATTTTGAAAAAAAAAAAGAGAGAGTTCCATTCTAGTTAGATTATGATGTCAGCAAATAAACTTAGCTCTAAAAGCCCCTCCTCTTTTTTTTGGGGGGGTGTCCTTTTTTGTAGGGCTAAGCCACAGGAAGAATAACCTCTCAAAAAATTGTTAAATCCTAGTGTCCTGGGTTCTGGCTTGGATAGAAACTATGGTATGATATACCCTCATTTTGTGGCTAGGTCTCCCACGGTAAATGTCGATTCACAGCATCATATTCCTCATCAAAATCATTAAGAAAATGTGATAGCAGTTCAGACAAGACAAGCTGACGGGCTCATTTGGACACCTGAGGGATGTAGGATCCTATTTCCAGAAGTAGTTCAAGCTCAGAGAAAAAAACAAAAACCACACCAAAACCAAACCCGGGAGCTTCCGTGCATACGTGCACAGCCCACGGCACAGGCAGCAGGGCGGCGGCGGAGGCCTGGGAGGGGCCGCTGTGGGGTGGACGGCAGTCAATGGGGAAAAATGGGGCATCTGGAATACTTTCAACAATAAAGAGAAATTAAGAAAAAAGGATCAATTTCAGATTTGATAACTGAACTATTGATCAAAGCAGTAGACAAAGTCCTCTTTTGAATACTTTCTAATTTAAGTTAAAAAAATAAATCTCACCGTTTGGTGCTTTAGCGGGCGTCTCTGGGGCACAGTCCTTGGTGTCACTGCAAGCAAAGGGAAAGGAGCATTTCACGGTCTGCGCACCGACCGGGGAGGAAGTACTCAGCGGAAGGACAGCTGTCAGCCGTGCTTCCCGTGGGAGCGAACGCGACGTACCAGATCCCTGCGTGCCCAAAGGGGCAGCTGTGATTCCTCAGTGGACTCCCCCCACTTCACAAATGTTGGTGAAGTCCACCCCACACCCCATGTAACCCCGAAACCTGCTGTGCTTGAGCCCGTTCACATTGCCGGGCAGCCGCCACCACCATCCTCTCCAGGACGTTGTCATCTTCCCCAGCTGGTACCCCGCACCCTTCAGCTACTAACACCCACTTTCCTCTCGCCGCACCCCCCGGAGCCGCTCTTCTACTTCCAGTTTGACCACGAAGTATCTCACGGACGTGGAATCATGTGGTGTCTGTCCTCTCGTGACGGACTTAGCCGTGTCTTCAGGTCACACGTGTTGTAGCGTGCCCCGACCTCCTCCCTGTTACGGGCTGAATCCGAGCCTCGTGCCTGTGTGCACCACGTTTTCTCTCTCCACCGTCCCCCAGTGCGGTGGCTCCCAGATCTGGATTGTGCACAACGCTGCTGGGCACGAACCTCTGGGCGCCCCTGTTCAGTCCTGTGGGTGCGCACCCAGAGGTGGGCTTGCTGGATCGTACGGTAGCTCCACATTTAGCTTTTTTGAGAAACTGTTGTACTGTTTTTCACAGCGGCTGTACCATTTTAAATTCCCAACAGCAACGTACAAGGGCCTATTTTTTCTGCTTCTCCCCGCCCCCCCCACCTTCCTGATCGACTTAAATGTTTCCTTTCCCAAGAGTTGTTATCCTGTCTCTTCGCAGGACCTTAGGAGTTCTAAGGTGTCCCGCACGCAGGACCTTAGGAGTTCTAATGTGTCCCGCACGTAGGACCTTAGGAGTTCTAAGGTGTCCCTCACGCAGGACCTTAGGAGTTCTAATGTGTCCCGCACGTAGGACCTTAGGAGTTCTAAGGTGTCCCTCACGCAGGACCTTAGGAGTGCTAGTGTGTCCCCCACGCAGGACCTTAGGAGTTCTAGTGTGTCCCGCACGCAGGACCTTAGGAGTTCTAGTGTGTTCCTCGGCCGATGGCCCACCCCTTGCTCTCAGGTGGGTAGGCACTGGCTGCCCCTGGGATGTTCCTGCCTGGGGCCCCCATCCACTGCCTTGGGGTGTCTAGGCCTAGACCATCCAGCCACCACCCTGGCTGCGCTTCTGTTCAGGGGAGACGGGAACATCTCCCGTCTCTCAGAACGTCTACGGATAGGCCGGGATATTGCCGACAAGTGGAAACCTACCCTTCCCACCCCAAGGGAGGAACCGGGATTTGGGCTCTTTCTACCCAACCGGGCCGCGCCTGGTGCAGAGCGCGCCGGGGAAGGGCGAGTGCACCCTGTGGGATTTCCCTCCAGGGTGAATGTGGCTCTCGCTTGCTCGCTCGCTCGCTCATTGGGCCTTCACTTGGTCGCTGCTGGTCCTGGGCGGGCCTCCGGACTCCTGTGACGGTGCTGTGTCGGCAGCTGTTTGCCTGGCAAACAAAGGCCCGCAGTTTCCCGCTCCCAACCTGCCCGAACTTGGCTTTGATTTGATTCGCTCCGTGCCCGGGTCCTCATCTTTGCTACCAGCAGGAGAGAGGTGCTTGCGTGACTAAGTATGTGTGTTTAAGGAACCTTCGTGCAGGAATAAAAGGCAAGCGTGGTCCAGGAGCAAACATCCCCAAGTGGTGTGAGTGTCGTGTCGTGTCAAGAGGAAACAGTTCCCTCGTGCTGGGGGGTGGGGAATGCAACAGGAATCTCTTTCTCCTTCTACCCACTGCGCTTCCACAACGGAGAACGCTGCCTCTTGCAGTGCACGCCTGTTCGTGTGCACGTAGAGCCGTTTTAGACAAACTTGAACCGCTTTAGGCCTGGTTATCAGTTAGATGGCAGGTCTAACTAACAAGTGCTGTGCTCTGTCCTCCGTAGTCAGCCTGACTTGGGTGTCTCCTCCTCATGCAGTTGCGGTCCATCCTTCCCGTCGCTCAGCAAACTCCCATGCTCCCTAGCCGTCACCTCGGAGCCTCCAGCCCACACGGCCCTTCTCTCCCTGGGTGGTTCTTACAGGCGGTCGCAGGGACGTGCGGTCACTCGGGGTCTGAGCGGGCAGCCTCGGCAGGCGCTGCAGAGGCCTCTGGGACCGGGCGCCTATCTCCCCGGTGAGAACAAGTAATGAAGGGAAACAAGACACTCGGGCATCGTGATCCCAGACACGTAGAGGCCCCGGGAATCAACATGGGGGTCACGTGGGAAGGGGAGGCCTTTGGGAGCAGCCACCGTGGGGATTCCGGGTGGGAAGGCCTGGGACTGAGCCACAGCGCCATCGTGGCTCTACCAGGGCCCGTTCTCCCGACCCAGCCCTCCCCCTCCGATGGCTCCTCCCGTGCTGCTTTGCGGCCACGTACCTGGCAGGTGAGCCCAGGTCCTCCTGGTTGTAAGACGACGTGCTCATAATCCTGTGTATGAGGTGATGGATCGGCTCCGTGGACTCCCCGTCTTCTTTCTGCAAAGGTGGAACCCAGGCGTCAAGCCCTCACATGCACAGCGTGAGGGAGCGCCTGAGGGGTTATTGGAAAGATGGATGAACCCATCGTTCTGATTAAAATGTCTCTTTCCAATGGAATCCGTGGGCAGTGGCTCAGTGAAGATGGTATTTTAATGTAGGAGTTTGAATGGGTTTTAAAGATAAACCTTGCACGATGTTTGAAGAATATTAGCTTTCCACTTCTGCACTTCACTAGTATTTTAATCAGGTTTTACTGGCTTCAAAAATAAAGGGAATAGATATAATCCCGGTCAATCTCAGAAGCTACCAGGTCAGTCACTGTGAGTGGCACTCTCATCTGCTTGCTGGGAAGTCATATGTGAATTTCATGGCCATACCTTTTATGAGAATACCTTTATTCTGAATCTCCAAAAAGGCTATTATGACTGGGAACATTACAATATATTTTGACTTTTGCTAATGTAATACAACAACATTTCTTTAAAAATATTATTATGCAAGTTTCACGTATACAGCATTGTAATTCAACATGTGTATACACTAAAAAGTGATCACCCCCATTAAGTCTAGTTACTCTCCATTACCATCCAATTGACCCGTTTGACTCCTGTCACCAGTCCTACCCTTAACTTCTGGTCACCACCTATCTGTTCTCTGCATCTATTAGGTTTCTTTATGGTTTTTTTTTGCTTTTAATTTTTTTAAAAATTTTCACATGTGTGAAATCACATGTTATTTATCTTTCTCTTTCTGACTTATTTCATTTCACATTACACCTTTAAGGTCCATCCATTTTGTCAAAATGGCAAGATTTCATTATTTTTTATTATTGAATAGTATTCCATATATATGTAGCCACAACTTATCTCTCCATTCATTGTTGGACACTTGGGTTGCTTCTATATCTTGGCTACTGTAAACAGTGCTGCATGAATATAGGGGGTGCATATATCTTTTCAAATTAGTGTTTTCATATTTTTCAGATAAATATCCAGAAGTGGAACAACAGCTGGATTATGTGGTTGTTCTATTCTTAATATTTTGAGGAACCTCCATACTGTTTTCCATGTGGCTGCATCAACTTACAGTCCTACCGACAGTATACAAGGGTTATATTTTCTCCACGTTCTCCCCAACATTTATTATTTCTTATCTTTTTTATAATAGCCATTCTACAGGTGTGTGGTTTGGATTTGCAATTCCCTAATAAATAGTGATGTTGAACATCTTTTCATGTACCTATTGCCCGTTTGTATGTATTCTTTTGAAAAATGTCTATTCTGATCCTCTGTCCATTTGCAGTTGGGTTATTTTTTTATTGTTGCATGAGTTCTTTATGTTTTTTTGAATATTAACCCCTTGTTGGATGTATGATGTGCAAATATCTTTTCCCATTTAGTGAGTGGGTTGTCTTCTTTTTTATTGATTTCAGAGAGGCAGGGAGAAGGAGAGGGAGAGATAGAAACATCAATGATGAGAGAGAATCATTGATCAGCTGCCTTCTGCACACCTCCTACTGGGGATTGAGCCCACAACCTGGGCATGTGCCCTGACCGAGAATCAAACTATGACCTCCTGGTTCATAGGTTGGTGCTCAACCACTGAGCCATGCTGGCTGGGCTGTCTTTTTGTTTTAACAATGGTTTCCTTCACTGTACAGAAGTCTTTTATTTTGTTGTAGTCCCTTTTGTTTATTTTTTCCTTTTTTCCTTTGTTTCATTTGCATTTGTAGTCAGATCCACAATAACATCTAGGCTGATGTCAAGGAGGTTGCAAGGAATTTTATTGTTTCAGGTCTTCCATTCAGCTCTCTGGGCTTCCTGGACCTGCATGTCTATTTCGTTTCCCAAATTAGGGATGTTTTGAGCCATTATTTCCTCAAATAATTTTCAATTCAAACCTAGATCATCTGAATTTGTGTGGATCTTTTATTTTCTTCCTACCTTGGCCCTTCCTCTGGTTATATCCTACCTGCATAAGGCTTTTCTACATAGAATCTTCAATGGGTGTTTATTAGCTAAAATACAATAAAGGCTGGAGTCTATTAAGTAATAGATATAAATAGTTAGCTTTCATTTCTCCCACATGGTTCCCATTTTATCTCCTCCCGGGGCCTCTAACTAACCCAGGTCTCCTTCTGTGACCTGCATTCCCTCGGTTGAGTTTTATGGCTTCACCTGTTCATCATTTCTCTTATCCTATGAACATCACCAGGCTCCTGAGTGACAGGAACCACTTTAGTGTTCTCCTCTGCCTAATGAAGGAGTATTCTGGACAGAATTTCTGAAGATCTCCCCCTTTCCCATACATGTCGGGTCACCGGCAGCCCTCCTCACTCACCTCACACTGCGGCTCATTCCCCCAGAAGGAGTCGGTGACAGCCAGGATGGAGGAGCAGGTGGGCTGGTCCAGCTCAGCGGCGGGCCACTTCACTTCCCTCCCCGTCGGTCCTCCTGGAGGCTTCCCGGTGGCCTCCGGGCTTTCCGTATCTGCCTCCGTAGCTTCTTCCTCAAATAGTTCACAGCTTGCTTCTCTTATGTCCTCTCTCAGAACAAATTCATAGTCATCAGTGGTCGGCTCCTCTCCCTTGGGACTTTCTGACTCACCTTCAATATCATGAACTACTAATCGGATGAGAAGATCTTGTTTGTTCTGAACGTCTTTTAAAAGCTCCACCTTGGTGATATCAGGCTTTCTTAGGTTCTGAAAGGAATTTCGGCCAACAGCCTGCAATTGAAGTGACAAAGAATATTAAAAACAAGTGCCTCCATCCCTTTTTCTATGGTCCTATGGTCTTAGAGCCATGTTAATAGGATTTATAGTTTTCAATTTAAATACTGTTTCCTTCCCTACCACTCACTTGTATGTTAGTAGCATTTTAAGGATCAAATGGAAATTATGAGACATACTTGGTGTCTATCATAACTTCTTTTATACTCGGAGATCATATTAATCTACCATAACTTACTTCAAAGTATAGAAGGTCTATAACAGGTCCTTTTTTCTTAAACTTGGTATTTTACTTTTTATCCACTTACTTCTAAAGTTTTGTAACAGAAGTAGCCGTGATCATCTATTTTTCAAAAATTCTAGATAAGGAACCATAGAGTAATCTTTTCTTTCCCCTATAAAAAACTGTTATTATCTAATTTTGATTTTTAAAAGACTAATACCAAAATTGTGAACGTTTTGATTTTGATCCTTATCCTTCTGCTCCTGGATCTTTGGACACATGTTTTTCAAAAGAATGTTTAGAACATACATCTCCACTCTTCTCTCATCTCCCTCATCGAACCTCACTTTCCATTCTCCACGTTGAAAGACAGTTCAAAGACATCGATGATTAAATAAGAGAGTTTCCCCACTTTTGTAGCCTTTGATGATGCCACAGAGCCTCTAAACTGACTTAAGTTAATAATCGTTGACCTCAACATGCCTTTGCAACGTGGTAAGTCCGTTTTCAGAAAATAGTGCCCTAAAGGAATATGTAACAATATATAGAAACTGCCTTCTTAGGAAATTAAAAAAATCCATTTTGATTTTCTGTGTTAGTGGAGGGAACCGGTGGTTGAGAAAATCCAAAGTCATTCTATGTGGCTGTGAGATTTGTTACTGTGTGTGGTTTTAATAATGTATACGCCTCGTGTGCTGGGAATTTGTCACCTCAGAGCAGAAAGTAAAGCCCGTAGTGGAGCCGACAGTCGCCTGGTTCTCTGATCTAATTCACTGACTTCTGTCTTTCCTTCCTCTGTGCGGAGAGAGACTGTATTGGTACCCAGATTGGTGCAGGTGACACGTCTTAGCAGAGCTTGCTATGTCTGCTTCTTTATTTCTAAGTTTTATGTTTAGGATGGCTTTTCTCCCACTTAGAGGATAGAGGATGGGGTAATTGTTTGGTTGACATAGCCTCTTCCTGCTTTCTTTGGTCTATAAATGACTTCAGCAAAGAGAGCTGGCAACTAAGGGTAATATTGTGACAGAGAATTCTACTGATAATTAAAAACTGATTTTGAGTAGTGTTACACCACAGTCTGTTCACACTCTTTTACTCCTGAGAGAGTACTTGTACATAAATGAAGACTACCAAGTCGCATGCTAGAGCCATGATGAGAACCCATATGGAACAGGAACGTTTTGAGCCAGAAAGGATTGGTCCAAAAAGTTGAGGACAAAGGAGATGAAATTAGTGTCTCAGCCCATGAGAAATTCAGTTATTTGGGTATAAAAACAGAAAGCCCTCGGTAACATATTTACCAACCCTGAGACTGAGTTCTATGGGCTGCAGGGCAGGGAGCACGGTCCTATACATTTTTTTTCTCGTTTTCCAGGCCACAGACTATATACCTGGACACACCTAGTCGTCCTATGAACGAGCACCATTAGACCAGGGGCTTTGATAACGAAGAAAAATGTGCAGTGGATCAGGGTCACCCCACTGTCCAGACACCCCCTGTCCTCAGGGGCATAGTTTCCTTGTAACAAGGGCATCATGTTGGCATTTTAAAGTCCCAGGCAGTTTCGTGTATGTGGGGCTTGAATGTGAGCGGCAGGGCAGAGCTAGGCCTACAGAAAGAGGACACAGGGTCGTCAGTGCGGCAGCATCAGGGCTGCTGGGTCCAGGAAAAGCGGGGGAGAGGGAGGAACTGTGTACTTCTTTGCAGGATAGAAGAAATTGGAAAAGGCAAATGAAAGTCGAATAGTAAGAAACAAGTGTAATCTAAGAGTTTGTCGCCTAATGTTTGTGGACATGTTGCTAAAAGCCAGCAGGTTGCTGCTGCGGGAGAGCTTCAAGTCTGAGCAATTAAAGCTACTTTAGGTAGTTTTTGAACCTTCCTATGTCCTGATAGCCTAGCTGTCCCTTTGAGGCGCCTTTCGACATCCACGCTAAGAACTGCAGGAACGGCAGGAGATTGTGTTTCTTCTGAATCTTCACATGAAGATTACAGCCGTAGTCAGCCTGCTTTTCCTGTGAAGGGTGTGCCCCTGTGCTCCCATTCTGTTTACAAACAGAGCAACACCGTTTAAACGGACTGTCTTAGGAACACTGGCCCGAGACCGTTAGAGGGAACCACCATGGGCCAAGTCCCAGGAAGTCAGATGACTGTAGGGCTGAACCAGCACAACCAATGCCCCTGTTGGGCTGGGCCGCAGCAGCGACACCAGAAAGCATCCCAAATACCCATTCGAGGAGGAGAGTCACACGGCCACCTCGGCTCACTCTTCACCTGTTTGCCTGCGGCTGCGTTCACACTTACCTCTAAGGGTTTCATGTCCAGACGCCCCGTCCTGTTCAGCGAGGTGCGTCTTTCTTTCTTGAGCTTTTCCTCATTAGATGCGTCTGCGGAGGAATAACTTCTCCCCTGCATCGATGCTCTTCTCACTTCTGCTATGCTGTGCCCGGTGTTTCTTAAACACTCCATCTGAAGCTTCTCAAGAGGTTCAGTTTTTACTGAAATGACTGCTAAGTGTTGTGAAAGAATGCCGGGATCTATTTTGATGGGCTTGTTCCCAATGTGGGGGACGATTTTAATTTGCGTTTCCTCTCCCCATGTGTTTTGATCGGGCGCTCCATTCTTCGTGTCAGCGTTCGTTTTGAAAGCGTGTTCTTGCGCCTTCTGGACAATCCTGTTCACGTCTAGATCTCCAAAGTGGTCCGCATGGGAATCCTTGGAGCAATCGGTGTCTGTATCTAAGGTAACGCTGGAAACGCCATCGATGATTAAATTGGCCACCTTTTGGGGGAAGACTCTGTTGGTGCCTTTGATGTCGTAGTAAAGGTCCTTGTAGGTCCCGGATTGTATCAGCACGTTGCTGTAAATAGAGTCGATAATCTGAGAGATCATTTCGACACTTTCCGGGTTTAAAAGCTGTCCCTCAGGGTCAGCAGCAACGAGACTAATGTTACTTTTGGAAATCTCCGCCGACACAGATTTAGTCAGCTGAGATGCAATTTTATTTAACTCGGGCTTTGATAAGTTCTTGGCATCTTTGCTTGAGGCACTGGGCAACTTTACCAGTTTGGCTAAGAACAAGGCCAGTGCTTCCTCTAAACATGTGGCATTCAACATGGAACCTTTTTTGGAGGAAGACCTGTCCTGGGACTTAAATTCAACAATTTTGACCACCTTTTCCATAATTTTGACAGCTTCCAGCGCCAGTTCTGAGCTCGATACTTCTTCCTCTCCTTGCTGTTGAAATTTAGAATTGGAAATTTCCTTCACCATCAAGAAGCCTATTATGTCAGAGAGGACATTGCTCTTCCCCATTAAGTCCTTGAAGATGGACATATGGGAGCCAGAGTGCTTTAACACCCGGGTGTAGACAGAATTGACGACCTTTTTGATCGTTTCATTGTCAGACAACGGTACAGTCGCCAGTGCCTTGGCTGGTGGTGTGAGTTTGATCTTACTTTTCGAGATAAATTCTTGCAGGGAAGTTAATATTTTGGACATGATGTTTTGCATTTCAGTTTCTAGGGATTTGTTTCTTTTCTTGTCCACCGTGGGAAACACAGATAAAAGCTTGGATAGAAACTGGACGGCGATTTCTTCTATGACGTTGTACGGCAGCCTGTGGGCGGGCGCGGGACGGGGCTGGGGCGTGTCCGTGCTGCGGATGACGTCCTTGAGGATGTTCTCAATGATGCTGTCCACTTCTGCGCACTGACACGGGGTCAGCTCTCCCGAGAAATAGCTCTGCAGCTGGTTCCCGGACACCTCTCGTAGCACCAGCTCCACGATGGTCTCGGAGAGGATTCTGCAGCCGCTGGCTGCACAGTTTCGTATCATCTCCTGCGAGCCAAACTGGGACAAGAGGTTCCCATAAATAGAAAGGGCCACCAGCTGGAGGACCTCGTCGTCGTTGGGATGCAAGGACTCCACGTACTGAATGGTTATGTCTTTGTCCTTGGAGATCTCGGCCATGACGGTGCCCAGCAACTTCATTTGCAGGAAATCCAGTTCTGTGAGCCACCCGCCCTCCGAGGTGGCTGCTTTGGTTTTGGGTGCGACTGAGAAAACCTTATGCAAAAGAGCAGAAATCATGTTCTGTAAAAAATCGCGAGGCAGCAGGATGGCGTACGGTGAGAACGTCTGACACTCTTTACTGGCTGTCCGCACCACCTTCTGGACCTTTTTGACAATGTCCTTACATTCCAGAGGCAGACACGCCGAAGGTGGGACCTCATCGCTGGGCTCCAAGTTCAGCTGCTGCTGAAAAATTTCATTGATCACTGTGCTGGTCAGTTTTCTCGCTAAATTTCCCCTGTTGCTCTTTATATTTTGACAAAGGGAGTCTTGAGACCTATATTCCTTCAAAATACTGCATACAGAAGAGTGAACAACTTTGTTAACCAATGTTTTATCGATGGCCGGGATTCTATCTAGGAAAGACACCTTATTTAGAGGGATTTCTTTCATCACTTTCTGCGTTTGGGACATTTCCGCCCCCGTTGCTTTCTTAGTGGGAGGTGAGGCTCCATCTGCCGTTGGCTCTTTCTGCTTAGGAGGCCCTTTAGGAACGGATGACCCTTTACCTCCAGGAGGGACTAGCGGGCCTTCCTTTTCTGGCCTAAATACCTTAATCTGAGCCTTGGACAGCTCCTTCAGCAGCGACTCAATGAGCTTCATGGCTGTGTCGTAGAGGTCGGCTTGATGTTGGCCATCACTGACATTTTGGCATCTATCAGATGTTTGTGCTTCTGGTGAGGCACGAAAGATCAACTTGTTAACCATTTCGATGATAACATCCTCTAAAAGTTTAGCAGGGAAAATCCCAGGCTTACTTTTTGGTGGGTACTGAGCACTGTCTGGTTTCCTGGGTTCATTTTTGATCTCCTTCACTTCCACTTTCTCTTTTCCTCCCTCTTGTTGTTTCTCTTTTCCTCCCTCTTGTTGCTTCTCTTTCTCTCTTGCTTTCTCGTTATCCTTTTCTTCTTCCTTCTCCGGGGCAGGGAGATCTTTGTCAACCGAGAGGGGTAAGTCCTTTATTGAAACAGACTGGGCAAAATCCTTGCGGACCTCTTGGGTGACATGAACTGTATCACTTGGGGTTTTTTGGAAACTTGAATAATCTGATTCTGGGGCAAAACACGTCTCTAAGATATTGTCATAAATATTTTCAGTGATATTTTGAACACGTTCATAGCCTGCATAATGTTTATTTATATCGACTAGAGGGAGAGTGCTTTTTCTCCACTCAGTGTTCGGCTTTGGAGTTAATGTGTCCTCTGTGTTGGTCGCTGCATTTGTCACTTTGGGTGTCAAAGGTAACGGACAGGGCTCGTCTTCTTTTCTCAATGCATTTCCTCTTGTTTTGTCAATCTTCTGTTTGTTTGTGTCCAAATCTGGTCCAACCATTTCCTCCTTCTGCTCTGTCTCACCGGGAGCTCCTGGAGTCTGTGTGTATGCCTCATTACGTTGCTTCTCTTCATCTGTTGACACTGATTTGCTTTTCTTCTCAGTTTCATTATTTTTACGTGCTCCCTTCAAATCTGACTTCTGACTATCTTTACTTTTCACACTCGTAGTTGGAGATGTACCTGTTGATACATTCTCAGTATAATTTTTAATTGAGATTGTCATTTTATTTTCATTCTCTTTCTTTTTAGTTGCCACCCCTGCAGCTGCCCCCGGCAGCAGGTTAAGCAGGTTGCACTTCATGGTTCTAGTTAGAGAGGTGTCTTTCGGCTCTTGGGTCTCGCCTTTTTTCACGGGCGCCTCCTCACTCTGGACGCTTTTCTTTCTACTTGCTGTTCCTCTGTCTAGTTCCAAAGTTCCCAACACGTGTTTCCGGACTGAGGTTGGAGAAGTGTATTTATATGATTGCTCTGAAAAAGTAAGTTGGTTTCCTTTGAGGCCTGTGCTACTCGGTGCAGTGGTTTTCTGTGGCAGGTGCTGAACCCTTTGGGTGATGTGATCTGGATTTAGAAATGAAAAGAAGGTGGAAGACCAGTCTCCTGAGAACAGGGGTTGAATTTTGAAGGCAGAGATTGCCTTTTGGGCTAATGCAGCAATCGTTTCTATTAGCACGTGACCTTTATCATCCTCCTGCATGTCACCGGAGTCGTACTTCCCTATGAACTGATCGTACACAAAGTTGGATATCTTATCCACTGTCTCTTTATCAATTGGTGGGAAAGCAAAGACTTCTTCAGCATTCGGTAGAACTTTAATTTCACTTTTCCTGAATTCTCCTATCAGAGAATTTGCAAATTTTATAGCCAACCCCACAAGTTCTGTCTCCGACATCCCTTTTTTCTTAGGTTCTTCGGCAATACTTAGGAGGGAAGAAAATTTGCGAACAAGGTCAACCACTACGTCTTCCAAAAATGTAGCTGAGTAGAGGGAAGTCTGAGTCTTTTCTTTCCCAGGTTTGGTGAGTGCAGAGCCCCCGTCACCCTGTAAAAATGGCCTCAGATGATGGTCCATAATTTCCTTCATAACGAAACCTGCGACTTTGCTGAGGAACGAGCCTGCTTTTTTGTCTGCATCTCTTTGCACTTCTGCTTGAAATTCAGATTTTTTCAAGATATTATTACATATCGAGTCAACCAAGTTCTCAATCATGTCTAGTTGGGTGCTGTCGGCATTCTCTTCCGCCCGGGCGAGACGGATTTCATGTTCCGCAATTTCTTTGATAATTTCATCCGTCAGTTTTGAAGCTGCAGCCACAAACTCGTCATCAGGTGAAGCGCCTTCCCCCCTGAGCTCGCCCTTCGTGTGGGTGGGAGGGAAGATGCTCGCTATGAGCTTGTAAATGATGTCTTCCAACAGCACACGCGGCAGCACCGTCATGCATGGGGTGGCGGGGCCGGCCTTCGTGACGACATTCAGCACATTTCTGATGATGTTTTCGGTTTGAAGGGAAGAACAGGAAGAAGATACCAATTCTCCTGACACTAACGACTGCATCTGATGATCATAAATTTCTTCCAATAGTAAGTGATAAATTTTCCTGCCGAAAGAAGTCGTGTCACTTTGCATAACCTGGTAGACTTGAATCAGAGATTTGTATTCACCTAATATCTTTTCATAAATCAGGTTGGCTGTTTTTTGAACCATTTCTTTGTATCTTGCCGAAGAACGCATATCATTATCGAAATAATTCGAAACTACAATCTCCGACGTGGTGAACTCCAGAACAATTGATTTTACTAATGTTGTCACAATGTCAGTAATTTTCACTTTCACTATGTCTGGGTGCTCAGCAGCCAAGACGTTGTGTGAGAACGCGTACAGGAGTTTACATAGCAGCTCTGCGATGACCTCCTCCAGGAAGGCAGCCGAGTTCACCACGAAAGCCAAGTTTCCTTGCTGAGCGTTGGCTGCTCTCTGTTTATCGTCATGATCAACCGCAGCTGAGAGGCATATTTTATCTCCGGGTAAAAATGACTGGAGATGATGGTTAAATATTTCTTTTATGATAAAACTCGCTATTTTCGAAACAGGCATCTTACTTATCCCTTTCTTATCCTTTGTGAGAGACTGATAGAGCTTTGAGTGTGAAAGGTCAGCGTAGATGGAACCCACCATGGACTGGATATCTTTCTCCGAGATCATGCTCTGTTTCTCACTGCCGTGTTTGACAATGCAGATTGCATGTTTGGAAATGATTGACATAATTTCGTTTATCAGCCTTATGACGTTATCACTTAGCTCCGACTTGGAAGTGCCCTTGCATTCTGCGCTGGAGGCCAGTGGGCTCACCTGAGAGATCAGCTGGGCGACCACCTTTTCCAGGTGGGTGTGCGATAACATGGTGGTGTAGATAGTCGATGCCTGTCTTTGGAATCTTGATTTAGTGATGTAATTTTGGACTCTCTTTATCAAAACATCGACGTTCAGTTTGGCGTACGACTTAAAACGAAGCTTTCCTATCAGCTTTGGGTGGATTTGGAAATCAAACGTGTGGGCCAGGATGCTCTTAGTCACCCTTGCTGCCAAGGTCTGTGTGTCATTGAGGAAATCGTAATCGGGCAGGATGTCCATTTCATATTCTTGCAGCACTTTGCTGAACACCATGTCCACAACGCTGCTGAGGACGTCTCTCTCCACTGGAGGCAAACGGCACTGCTCCTCGGCGTTCTCCAGGATGCGGACCGGGGCTCTTGACAGCTCTTCTGCTATCAGATGTATGAGTTTCCCAGCTTTATCCAAAAGCTCATCTTCCGAGTCTCTTGCTGATTTTGTTTGCACAATGCCCAACACCCTGTGGAATATTTTCCTTAAAACTCCAAAGATCACATCTTCCAAAAACGCTGCCGAGTAAACATTGGCAGGAGGCCATGGCCTCCACTCGCCATCAGGGTGAGTGTCTGTGGGGGAAGGCAATGCCTTTTGGTCCACAAACGGTTGAAGATGTTGTTGACAAATATGTTTAATGATGAAACCTGCTATTCTATCGATGACAGCGTCGTTGCTGCCTTTGATGTTTTGTTCAACCGATTCCTGAGACTTGGAGTTTTGTAAAATGTTTTCGAAGACGGAGTCCACGAGGTGCTGGACATCATCTTCTGAATAAACAAACTTGGTTTCTTCATCATCTTTTGAGAATTGGATGTCATGTTGAGAAATTTTCATCCTAATATCACTGATTATATTTGAAGCAATTTCATTGAAATTCACTCTTGACCTGTCTTTTAGAGTTTCTGTGTTTGGAACCAAGTCGGATGCAGAAGAAAAGATTCTAGATAATAGTACTCTGATCATGTCTTCTAAAAACGTGTATGGCAGCAAGGTATTATACGGAGATAAACTCGGGCTTGGCGTGGTGGGTTTGCTGATGTTACTAATGATGTCCTGGATGATGTTCTCAGCTGTGGAAATAGAACAGGAAGATGACAAATCGCCAGAGAACAGCGGGTGAAGAAGGTAATCAGAAATGGCCGCTACAGTTAAATTGGTGATGTTTTCCACAAAAGTCTCGCTGTCTTCAGACTCCTTGTCAGCCTCAGGGTCTAGCCCGTGCTGCTGTAACACGTTTCTGTAAACAGAGGACACGAGCTCATCCACGATGTCTGTGCCTACTGCGGGGCAGGCGCCCTCCTTGCCGCCACTGAGGATGTGAGTTGTAGCTTTGTCGAAGTGGGTGGTTATCGAGTTCACTATTTTTTGTGTCATGTTTTCCAGCTCATTGTCAGTGTTCTGCTTGGAGCTGAATATCTTTGCTACAAGTCTGGCCACAATTTCCCCTATGAATGTGTCAGGGGGAACGCCTGAGGGTGAGGGCCTCTTGGGTCTGTGCGACGCTGTGACCTCACTGAGGACCCGTTTAACCATGTTCGATACTGCATCCAGTGGAGTATTTGGACGGTGCAAACCTTCTTCACACAAAAATGGTTGAAGATGGTTTTCAATAATCTCTTGGATAATAAAACTGGCTATTCGGTCCACCATAACTGGGCTTCGGCTCACCAGGCTGTTCTGGATTGAGACAAGAGAGTCAGGCATTTTCATGATGTTCCGATACACAGAATCCACCATCTTCTGGGTGTTTTTCCCTGCACATAGCTGTGGATTGTCACATATAGTGAGCCAAATTTTGTGTTTTGAAATGGCTGATAGAACCTTATTTATGATACAGTTAGACATTTCACTGAAATCTGAACTCATGAACTCTTTTCTCCCCAGAGAGGAAGCCTTACTGGGTGGAGCAGTGAGTTGGGCTAGAAGCCTCCTGATGATATCCTCTAAAAAGGAGTGCGACACCCTGGTGCTGTAGCCTCCCGCAGACCTGGATCTGGAAGCACATTCTCGCAGGGTCCTTTGTAGTTTCTGCAGGATGATTTCAGCTTCGAGAGGGCAGCAGGAGTTCGGGCTGAGCTTCTCCCGGAAGCAGGGTGGGAGTTGGTAGTCCACGATCTCTAACAGTATGCCGTTCGCTATTTGTCCTGCTAGTGAGGAGTTGTCATGCTCCAGATTCACACCACGGGTCACCTTCAATTGATATTTCTGCAAAACGTCGGGGTAAACCGAGTCAACAACCCTACGTACCCTTTCCTTTTGGACCGGCGGGAAGCACAGTCTCTCCTCCACATTCCGCAGAACAGCGATCTGCGCGCGCGCAAACTCCCTCACCACGTTGTTGACAAGTAGTGTGTTCATCTCACTGAGCTGGGCCTCCGTGATGCTTTCATTTTTGCCCCACAGGGAAGTGGAGAGATCGAAAAACAGTTCTGAAATGATTTCCTCCAAAAATGTGGCCGAATAAACACCTGTACTCCTACTCCCCAGGTGTAGCTTGCTATGGATGGCTGTTTCCTGCCTCCTACGAGGTGTCACAGAAGAGGAGCTTACTGAACACTTCCTGCCAAACGGTGACTGTGTTTTGGAGCGGACCATGCTGGAGAGGTTTAGGGATTCGGTCAGAGCGCGACTGTCACAGCTGGTGAAGCCGGCAGAACCTTTACCTTGTCCGAATCCTGCTAATTCTGGCCTTTTTGCTTTTATAAGACCTGACTGTCTTTCTTGTGTTCTACCCTTCAAGTGCTGGCTTGCACTGGGCGGGCTGTGAGGGAGTTGAATATTGTGACAGAGTTTGTCCATCAGGGACTTCACCAAGCTGTGGGAAACGAGGGTGAGCATAGAGTCCGATGACAACACATCTGTATCCATTTCTGCCAGATTTTCCAAAAGATCTGACATACAATCTCCTTGGGACTGTTCACAGCCCGTTGCCCCCTTACAGTCACCAAAGCCCTCGTCTTCTACACTTTGAAGCATTTTTAAAAGTTGACATTCTTCTGCAGACATTTCATCAGAAAGAGGGCCATGATCAAGAAAGGCAGTGTTTGTGCATTTTTCCAAAAGCGTTCTGATAAGTTTCTCACACACGACATTGAGAAGAAAAACGGATTTGGGGGTGAGCCCTAAGTTATTACTCGAGGACGATAAAGATTTTCTTGCTTTTTCATAAGAATCCATAGCCTCACCTCTGCGTTCATCTGGTAAAAATAAATCTAAAACAATATTGAAGACCTTATTGACTACTTCTTTGGATTCACGAGTTTTCAGGCTACTAACGATACTGTCTAACTTGTATGCCAGATAATTTAATTTCTCATTTTGAATGAGATGTTCATTTGGGTGAGTAGATGATTCCCAGTTTCTGCAACTTATCTGTCTTTTCATGGTGTTTGTTTTGTTGCCCATGGACACACTATTGCTTCTGAGCGTGGACAATGGTTTACTTCTTCCATTGCTTTCAAGGTGGTGAGTTATTCCTATCACTTTGGACAGTACGTGGATCACTCCTATTAGGAGATCCTGGAAAATATGGTCAAAGTCAGTAGCAGTGACTCCTGGGCAATAAATGTACTTTGTTTTTAAAGAAAACATTTGCTGTGCAATGTCAGGCTCTATAATGTTACTATCGCAAAGGATTTTAGTAATGATTTCAGAAATACTTAAAGCAAGTTCTCCGATAGAAATCGACCTGTTTTCAAATACTTGAGAATCAATGGAAATAATCTTGTTACATCCTGAATTTTGGCTTTCCCATGCCTTCGCACTTTCTCTGCCACCTCGGATGCCATCAGAAATGCTCGAAATTAAATGGCAAATGACAGACTCGGTGAGATGCTCACAAAGTTGGCAAAGCGAAGAATCATTATATATGCTTCTTAGACGCTGTTCTGACTCGTATGTTTTCTTTGACAGTGTGGAAACAATCGACATCTTCTCACTGGACACTTCAAAAAGAAAACATAATTTGTAGCATGCATAAGAGAAATACGGAAAATTCAATATATCGGTAATTATTTACATATGAATTTCACCTTTGGAACACTTCACTAAAGAAAAAGAAAAATTTAGTCAAGAAAGAAATTGGGTTTTCTTCTGATACTTATTTCCCACCTTGTGGAATCATAATTTTAGCCAGAAAGTTGAGAAAATTAACTATGAAGAATTAAAATTCTAAGTCAAGTGCTGATGTCTGACTTGCTTAGATAGTTACGGGCTTTAAGAAGTTGGAAATTCTGGGGCAGAAAAATGAGTTTCGAGTTGAGTTTTACATCCTAGCATGTCCGCAGTGATATATGGGGACCTCGTATAATTACTGAGGACATGTTTTGAGTCACAACATTTCATGGTAGGCTGTGTGTCACTCAGGAAACGAAGGAGTTGAGTGGCCATAAGAACACAATGAAGTAGGATTGTGCTCACTGCAGAAGTGTAGGGGCTTCGTGGCCATGGCAGTAGTTTTCTAACCCCTGGATTGTAGGTTGTCACAAAAACGGAAGGCCAGCCCAGCCAGGCATAGGACTCCCTTCTTCCTCCCACTCAACAAGATATTTACTGCAAACCATACACCTGGTTGGGGTGGCCAACTTCTTGGAGGGCTGGTCAGAGTGCCAGCCTTGGTTCTCAGAGCTCCCTCAGGACACAGTTGTCTATCTACCCCCCACGTGTGGGAGGAGGCAGGTCTCTGGAGGTGGGAGGGGTTTAGCTGAGCTTTGACTGCTTAAAAGAGGGTCCCATGTGGGGATGGAGGGAGCGAGGAAGGAATATTCCACATGAAAGAAGGACCATGAGTGAGTTCCCTGGGAGGCACCAGACACCAACAGGATGGAGTCATCTATCTGCTTTTGTTGGCTTTGTTTTCCTTTATTAAGTTCAGTCAGGCCCTGCTCGGGGACAGGCCGTTTAGGAGCCTGAAGCTGCAGTTACACACTGCTCACCTCAGAAGAAAGGCCAGTTCTAAGGCTGGAGAATGACCTCTGCCTGCAGGTGGCGGGACTGGTAGTATGTGCTCTCATATTTGAATGTCGGGCAAGTGATGTATCTGGACTGGCGATGTAGCTTACTGGTAACTGGAATTATTGATCCAGTTCAGAGCTATTACAGTATTATTAGATTCCATTTTATGAAATTGCCAATAATCAACAGGTTTGGACATGCAAGAATGGCTGTTACATGTGGTTCAACCTAACATATGCAGGCAAACATTCTTAGAAAGGGAGTGAAAATACCTTTGTAAGAATATGTTTATAGTACTACACCTAAAAGGAATTTAAGATTACTGCAATGTAAACAAAACCAGGTGTTTAGCCAAGCGGGTGTGACTCAGTGGTTGAGCATCAACCTATGAATCAGGAGGTCGTGGTTCGATTCCTGGTCAGGGCACATGCCTGGGTTGCAGGCTGGATCCCCAGTGTGGGGCGTGCAGGAGGCAGCCGATCAGTGATTCTCTCTCATCATTGACGTTTCTATCTCTCGCTCCCTCTCCCTTCCTCTATAAAATCAATAAAGATATATTAAAAACAAAAACAAAAAAACCCCAGATGTTGAATGCCACTGCTCTTACAAACTATGACTAATAATGGCAAAGACGTGAGCTGTACACCATGAAAAGATGAGTCGCTAACCTGCAATCCGCTAACTGTGGCTTTGGCATGAAGAAGCCATGCACGAGAATCTTAAAAACTCTTTGGAGCTCATGCCTTGTGCTCCACCGGCTCTCACATAGTCCCATTATCTCTCATCGAGGATGCGGGAAACTGAACACCACACCCTTTCAGGTTCCAACCACGTGAATGCTAGACTCTTTTTCAGGGTCCTGACACAGTAAGAAGTACCAAGTCCCCACCTCCAAGGCTGTTTTCAGAAAGATGGCCCATGCAGCTCCGTCTAGAGCGGTGATGGCGAACCTATGACACGCGTGTCAGAGGTGACACGCGAACTCATTTTTTTGGTTGATTTTTCTTTGTTAAATGGCATTTAAGTATATAAAATAAATATCAAAAATATAAGTCTTTGTTTTACTATGGTTGCAAATATCAAAAAATTTCTATATGTGACACGGCACCAGAGTTAAGTTAGGGTTTTTCAAAATGCTGACACGCCGAGCTCAAAAGGTTCGCCATCACTGGTATAGAGACCTTTAAACATATCTGACTGTTCTTTTTCTGAATTATGTCAACGTTTAGAGGAAGTTCTCTCTTTTGCTTACCTCTGGTTTTGAAGTTCTGGAAATATGTGACCACACATGTGGTTACATGTCTTGCTACCAAATTGATTTCATTTGGACCCAGTTCATGATCAGCAAAAGCAATGACTTCAAATTCCTTCACAGTCTTTCCCTTTGGATCGCTCTTCTCCCACTTTTGCAATAAAGAAAAGTCTCCCCTGCAGGCTTCCGGGTTTTTGCTTCTTCCTCTGGGGGCGCAGCGGGTCCTGTCACCCCACATGGCGAACACACTTTTCTTCTCCTCCTTTTGTCCTGCAGGGCTTGGTGTGGATATGAAAAATGGTTTCATTGTCTCTGTGCTTTCGTTAATGGGTGGTTGACTAGGAAACCCATAGCTTGACAACACAGTATTGACAATATTTTCTGCCGCTAAACATATCTTGAGTGGAGAAACAGCTGTCTGAGTTTGGTTAGGCCCACCAACGGGTTTTGGGGTCCCATAATGAAACACTTTTGGGTTTTTAGCTTTTCGCATTTCTATGAAGGACAGGCCTTGCTTCAATGCTTCTTCTGTGGACTCAGTCACCCGTTTAGCCAGTTTTTGTAAGATACTGCCACCCGGCGTGGCTTGATCAAACAACCATTCCCTGGGGCCGTGGTCTGGGACCTTGTTTCTAGAGGAGGTTGGCGCACTTCCTGAGTCAGGCCTTTCCCTGGGCTCTGAGCTTCTGACCGGGCCTTCTCTGGGGGCTCTGGCACATGAAGGTACGTTGGGTGGGCCCCTGTACCTTTTCTTCGTGTCGCCTTCAGGATAAAACACCAAACCAGGAATGCTAACCCGTGGAGGAGGCCCGTTCCCAAAACGAACTTCCTTTGACTTGGGAATTTTCATATCAGTGGCGAATGCAAGATGATTAACAATGTAGGTATTTTCCACGCCCGGGAACAAACTGGGAAGGTTTTTGATCAGAGACTCACTGACGTGCGTGCACTGGTCCATCAGCGCGCCGATGATCGCACTCGCTGCCGCGTTCTCCTGCAGCGTGCTGCCCGGCGGCTCCGCTTGGCCTATCTCCTTGTCCAGCTTGTTCTTGAGGACGCCCAGCATGTCGCTGGTGATGGCCACAGCGTATGTAAGCAGTTCTGAATGGAATGAGTGGACCTGCAGAAAAACGTTCTGTACATGTTCCTTGGAAATCATAGCACTGGACCTGCAGTCATCAGCAAGCTTTTTCAGCGACTGCAGTTTAGGGAACATCTTTTTGCTTAACAGTCTCTGCTGGGCCGGAAACAGGTTTTCTACAGGCATTTTCACTATTTCGGAAAATTCGTACTTGCAGGTGTGTTTGAACTGCAGGTCTACAAACGCCTCCAGCATGCCCAGCACCCTTTCCACAATGTCTAGGACAATCTGCTTGGTGGAGCCCAAAGACATGTGGTCCTTGGCGTCCATGTAGTAGATGGGCGCACCGCTGAGGACGTCCTTGGCTGGAAGGCCGTGTTTGCTCTGAGCGGCGTGTTCCTTCCTACTTGCTGGAGTTTCCTTACTGTCCGGGGTGGGCATCTGGGACAGAAAGCACAGCTGTAGTTTCTCAAGTAGCATTTCAACGATCTCCCTCGAGAACATATTGATTTGTGCCTTGGTGGCCTCCGCTCGCGTCGATGTTCCTTTAAGGCGGTTATGGAGCCTGCTTTCCCAGTCCTCGGGGTGCGTCAGATTTAAGAGGGAAAGATAATATTCTAATTCCTTCGATTTCATTGAAATGACAGTCAAAACATTTTCAGCCACTACCAGCAAGTTACATTTTTCACTTTCCATGTCATTTGCTTCTGCCTGCCATTTGTCAAACATTTTTTTAAATATCCCGTCCTTGGGAAAGATCTGCTCGAGCTGGGAAGAGACATTTTCCAAGTAGAAGCAGGCCTGCGTCTCAGCGAAGCCCCTCGCGCCTGGGCGCCCCGGGGGAGGCTTGAGGTCCGCCGGAGCCGAGAAGGTGC